TCTCACCATGGCTTTGTCCAAAAGATGTCTGACCTAATTAGCATATTACCCTTTATTAGTATAGATATATTCTGAGTCGTGTTTTCTGGTACTTGAATTGAAAGCATCCTTACTGGCATAAGTGCCTTAAAACAGCCTTGGATTATGGGCTGTGGGAATCAGAGAAAGAACAGATTAGTGGATGAATCAGTTGTTAAACCCTGATTTTATATTATGTGTGTGTGTGTTTATATCGTACATTCATGTATACGTATTATATGTATATATGTTTATATATAAATACTAGAGGCCTGGTGCACAAATTCTTGCGTGGGTGGGTGGGGTTCAGCTGGTTTGCTCCAATGGGGGCTGATCAGGGCCAGGTTGGCAGGGGGGAGATGAGGGGTTGTGAAGATTAGGGGGAGCCAATCAGGGCCCCCATCAGGCTGGTTCACCACTGCAGTGTGCATCATAGCAACCAGTTGCTCTGGTGGTTCTGAAGTTCCGGTCACTTGACTTTTATATATATAGATATTTATTTTTATATATTTAATTTTTGCTACTTTGAGGCTCTGCTGCATAGTACAAAAGATATGGGACCTTGAAGTCATTCAACTTCTGCTACTATGCAGCAGTAGTATTTAGGTAGGTCATTTCATTTATATGATCTTCATCTTCCTTTATAAAATAATATGGTCACCCCTACCTCATAGGATTTCATAAGGGTTAAATGAAATTTTATATATATATATATATATATATATATATATATATATATATATATATATATAAAGTTCTTGCACAGTACCTAAAACATGTGTACTTCCAACATATTACATCTGTTGATATTGTTTCTTTTATGCAGACAAAAATATCTTTGGAGTGCACTGATTACATCGCATTGATTACAATAGTAAAAGAAACCCCATATAATTCCTGCTTTTATGGAGGTTATAATTTGACTAATAATGATGCATATAAAGGTATAATTATAAACTGAGATGAGTGCTGTGAAGTGAAGGTATATAGCATCATGAAATTGTAGAATAAGTGAATCTGACCTTGTCTAGGAATTAAGGAGGCTTCACTGGGCAAGTGGCACTTGAGTTGGTGTTGGGGTGTGGTAAGGGAAACATCACTCTAGATTTATAGAAACAAACTCATTGTTACTTGATCTTGTACTGTAAGCTTCTTAAAATCAGAAATCATATTCATATAACCATATATTTATTTATTTATATCCTTTGTATCCAGCACGGTAACCAGGCTCAACACAATCATAAATATTTTGGAACTAAATAAATGAGGCTCACTGACTCTCATTCTCCTTATTAAAAAAAAAAAAACCGGGGGGGGGGTGTATAAAATGTCTATTTCTATGAGATGAGGAATATAAAGCACTTGAACTTGGAGTAAAGACTCAATATATATACGTAGTATTATTACTATCATTATTGATTTATAATTTCCATATATTACCTCTGCTACTATAATATAGATCCCTTTACCTTTGATTATCCCAGAGTTCTTAGCAGAGTGTATTGTATAGAATAATCTAAACATTTAGATGATATAGGACATTCTTAATTAGGAATTAAGTTGACAGATTAAAGAGACTATGAATGTTTAAAAAATAAATCATCAAAGCTAATTTAATCATTCTCTGTAGGAAATACTTAATGCCAAGTTTCTAGAATAGAGATAAAAATATATCTAAAAGAAAAAAAAAAACCTAAAAACATAAATACAAGCCTGAATCCTATCTGGAAAAATAATTATAGACAAATTCATATAGAATCTCATATATGTAATTAAAAACTCATTGCACTTATAGCTATCCAATATTTGGCCTTTTCAGTTAATTGGTCACTGAATTGATTGATTTTCAAATTACTTGTCTTTCCACACTCAGAGCAGGTTCTTTGCTATATTCATAGTTGCATCTTGCACATAGCTGGTGAACAAATAAATACCTATGGAAAGAAGAACATATATACAAAAATCATACTATATTATTTATGGAGGTGTATTCACCTTTGCAGAAATATAAAAGGATATTAGAATTATAAACAGGAATAGCTGGGTTGTGGGGTGCTGAAGGGTCAGGGTTTGGGGGATGGAACTCAGCATAGTGGTTAGAGGAGACTTGATTTATATGTGAAATAATTTATTTCATTTAAAAAAAGATAAGAAGCACAAGATGAAAAAATATTAAATATTCTGGTGGTGAAAAAATTTAAGTGTTATGTTATTCTTTGCTTTTTTTCCTGTCTTTTAAATTTCTCAGAACAAGTCCTGGTGGGTAAATCAGTTGGTTAGAGCATCATCCTGATATGCCAAGATTGTGGGCCCCATCCCTGGTCAGGGCACATAAAGAATCAGCTAATGAATGCATAAATAAGTGAAATAACAAGTTGATGTTTCCCTTGCTCTCTTAAAAAAAAAAAAAAAAAAAAAAAACCCCACAATTAAAGATAAATAACTTACACTTTAAAAAAAAATATTCTCAAAACAAAAATCAGTTTAATCGTCTAGATGGAGAAGAATGAATTAATCCCTTGCAGTTATACAGGATCTAAAGCTCTCTAATGTGCTATGGGTTACACTTGGTCATCACAACAATTTTGAAGAAATTATTATCAGCCTTATTTTAATCAGGAGAAAAATGAGACAAAATTTGATGAGTGGGCTGGCCATGACTTCCTCTCAAGTCAGGACAATGCTTGTCTGAGGACCAGACCATGATTTCCCTTTCAAGAGATAATATCAATGTCCTTCAACCATGAGAGCTAGGAAAGCGGTAAAAAGAAATTAGCTTTGAGACCTATTGTCATGAGACCTAGAGTTAAATGTAAATATGGATGGACGATGAATGAGCAAATATTTGAATACAAGTAGTAAATATACTCCAAGTTGCTTAAAATTTTTAAGGCTTATATTCCTCACCTATCAAATAGGTTTTGTGAAGAATGTATAATTTATATGTTTGTGACCCAGCAAATATCTGGCACTTAATTAGATGGTCAATATTGGTGTGTTTCCTCTTGTTTTCCTATGTTCCCATATATTATGTGGAACCCTTGGAGATTGCCTTTTTTTGTATGTGAAATGACTGAATATGGGCAATTTCATGAGTTTCATGCTGTTACTCTATGAATGTAAGCTCTGATACCACTATCAGCTATCTCTCTTGAATTCACATGTGAGGGAAACGCACACCAGAGTATAAATAAAGCTGATAACAGTTTGGGGCCTGAACTAGATAGTCAATTTGCAAGGATAGATAAAAGGGATTTGCAAATGTGTGAGGAGGAGAAGGATAGTCCAATTGGCAGAGGTAGGTTTACACAATCAGGGTTAGGCAACTGCAAACCAGACAGCTGCTCAATAGCTTTTGGCACCAAAATATATTGACCAGCTGGGATATCATTAAAGCTTAACAGTTCTATTCGCATGACCATATCTTGGTCAATTGGGTTGTCTTCGGCTACCAAAGGGTATAATATATTCCGATGTAAATGCCACATGTGTATCTGTGCAGCACATATTCTCTTATATTGATATGTTGTAGAATATACACTAAATATAAATGCATTTACTTCTTTAGAACACCAGGACAATGTGAGCAAAGAGGAATAGAACTAAAATATGCATTGATTTCTTTTTTAAAAAAGAAAATCATCATTATTCTGGGAAACCCTTTTTTTTTGTGCTTACGGAAAACAAAGGCACCCAAATAATTAAAATAATGTCTAAGGTGAATTTCTAAAGAATGATTATAGAAAAGGAACTATGGCTAAAGAAAGCCAGTTCTGCATACTGCGTACAAGTAAAGAAACAAATGCAGAAGAACAAATATAACCACAGATGACAGTGGTTGAAGGACCTTCACAGAAAGCTGTTTGAAGTGTCAGAAAAAGCCATTGTCACTAGTCTGGAAAGTCATTTCCAAATTGTTTCTAGCTAGATAATCTCCAGATAGTGCCTTCAAATTAGGAACAGACAAAACAAATAAGGACATGATATAAGGCAATCGAATGTCATGACATCTCCCAGAATGCTTGATCCACTATAATTTAATACACTAAAATATTCTGAACATTTTCAGAACTTGCAATTGTGGCATTTGGAGAATAAGATTTTTAATACAAAGTTTTATACAGTAGTAAAAAACAGTCATCCAAACACTGACCCTTACTATCTAATCCAAAATGCATGTTGATAAAGGATTTCATCTATAGATTATTTCCATTCTAAATCATTTGCCGTTTATTTAATTCTACTTCTACTGGAATTTCTTGGTTACATTCATTGGCATCTCTGGATTGACCTTTAATTCTGTATTTGCCTATTTTTTCCCTTCCCCATAAAATAGGTAGTTATTTGGCTACCCATGCCTCTTCCTCATCTCTGTGGAAAGCACTAAAAGTAACATCTCTTTAAAACCAGAGAATTTTGTATGGGGAGTAGCAAAAATTAGGAGGCAACCAAATAAATTACTCCTTACATCTGTGGGACTCCTGAATCATCCAATAGAAGTCAGATAAACTACTGCCTGGAATGCAATGGCAGCTAGATATATGAGGAATCCTTCTGCAAATGTTAGGTCTATATACACTTGCTAGTGCTTTCATAAGCTATTCAAAAAGCCTAGTTTTACGGTCTAGTTTATTTCTTTTCTTTTTTCAGAAGGAGGTATTTTACCAAAACTTAGATCATTATTGAAACATTAGTAGTGAAAAGGACTTTAGAATCATCTAGTTCAAGCTCCTTGTTTATAGATGAACAACTTCGGGTGGAGAAAGCTTCCACAACTTAACATTCAATGGCTAGTAAGCAGCCGAGTCAAAACTAGATGCCGTTTGTGCACTGATAACTAGATGAATACCATTTCCTCCAAACTGTTCTTAAACCATCTTTCCGTTAGAAGATTATGTACCTGCTGAATATTATCCAGTCTGAATAATCAGCAACTTTGCTATGGTGGTTTTGCTTTCCCAGGTAATAGTGGGATAGCTTTTTTAAGTTGAAAACCCTGGGATGAAGGGCTCCGGGGCATGGAAGTCTGCCTGGGAGCCTGCCTGGAGGAGGTGTCCGTGCTCATGGTGCTCCTCCTTCACCTTGCATTGGCACTCCTCCACCAGCATCACCACCTTGACCACGGGGGCGAAGCCTGAGCAGTTCAGCGGCAAGTGCATCGTGGTGAACCTGGTGGGCGCGCAGTGGTAGCAGGAGGCATGGGGGTGCTGTGCAGCTCCAGGAAAACGAGCAGACCCGCACTTCCCGAAGCAAAGGTTGTTCTGCACAACCACCTCCTCACAGTCTTCATGGGTGATGGTCTAAAAGGCAAACACATCTCTATGAAATCATCTTGTGTCATTCCATTAGCACAAATGATGCAGGCACTATAGACTGTCAAGTCTGAGGATAAGCTAGACCAGTGGTCGGCAAACTGCGGCTTGTGAGCCACATGGGGTTCTTTGGCCCCTTGAGTGTGGCTCTTCCACAAAACACCACGTGTAGGCGCGCATGCACAGTGCCATTGAAACTTCGTGGCCCATGCGCAGAAATCGGTTTTCGGCTCTCAAAAGAAATTTCAACCATTGTACTATTAATATAATATTTGGCTCTGTTGACTAATGAGTTTGCTGACCACTGCGCTAGACTAAAATTTCAAAATCTTTCTAATTTTGGATGTTTGCCAATATCCAACTAATGATATCTAGAATGGCAAAAAGCCACCTCAACTAAATATTTTTTCCACTGAGTAATATAATAAATTAGCCTGTAAGAAATCCCTAAGTTGATAGGAAAACATGTAACTCTGTTTTTAAAAAGCCAAGCTTTAAGAAATTCTGTCTAATTGGATGTTACCAGTAAAAAATATTCTAGCAGCTGGCTTCTTATGTAAGTGATGTGCCTTACCTTTCTATTCCTCACCAAGCATTGTGCATATTAGTTTCTCAGTACATGTTGTTCAATTGCTCATAGAACAGATCAGTATATCATGAATTTAATTCTATCCCATTCTGCATCCCATAGACTACATTCAAGTCTATGAAGTTGCAACACATATGCTCGCAAATCATCAGGCATGACATCACATTTGCCTCCCTTGGAACCACAGACCCCCCGCTTTATGTGGCCTTCAAAATATGCAAGAGCCAAACACCTTAATTTGAATTTAATCAGCAATAGAATTTAAAATAAAAGTTTCACAGGAAATTTGATTACAGGATTCTTAGGAGCAGTTTCCTAATTGCACATGACCAACAAAGCAGTCATTATTATTTGCGTTTCCTTGCTATTGCTACATACCCTGGCCTTTTTAGGCAGAATACTTAACTGCCTTGCACGCCAAATTACCTTATAGTACTGCCTGCTTAATTAGGCAGCATTATTGGGCTGTAAAACTTTACCCTGCATAGTTTTTGGTTCAGTATCTTTTTAAACATAAAGGACCTGATGTAATTTCTCAATTTAAATTTAACATTTGGAGTATGAGGGTTGTCAGGACTGACTGGAGGAAGTAGAAAGTAGAAAGCCCCTTTTTCTTATAGTGTGGAACCAATCAATCATGATAATTACAAATCAACTGACACAACATCAATGAGGAGATGAGTGTTGCTAAGGAGAGAAAATGTGATTTCACATTGAGATTTCACTTATAAGAAAATAAGTGAAGTTAAATCATTTTTGCTATGGTAATACTAGAAATGTTAGGGGAACTTACACCTAACAACCTCAGCATATTTTATAGACCTATGATGTAATTACATGTGAAATACAGGGATTAAGATTATCATATGGGCATGAGAGTGTTCGATGATGAGTCCAATGTATTTCACCTTATCCACAGATGGAGTTGACCTGACCACCCACATTCTAATAGAATGTAGAGATATAACTAGAGAGAGTTCTGGTGACAGCTCTATATTCCCAGTTTCCTGAGGTGCAGTCTTATCTCTCTGGGAAGACCATCCCCCTTGTAAAAATAAAGAAATAAAATGACACAAAACAACATTCTATGCCATCAATATGAATGATTCCTAATATTGGCAGGACAATTGAACATTCCTGCAGCATCTGCAGAATATCAAGAAACAATGGAAGGTGTTGAAGGAAATTTAGGGAATAGGACCGTACCTTGCCAAATCCTAGGATATATGCCCAAGGACCAAGTCTAGGAGTTAGGTAAGACTAACTCCTCTTTCCCTCCTCCCCATCTGCCCCAACGGTCCACCCCCTTCCTATGCACCCTGATCCTCTTTCCCCGGAGCAGATACCTGGCTGAAAGGCAGGGTCCTACAGGTCTCCTGGTGCACCTCATGGCTCTTGATGGGCAAGATGACCCCCTGAGAAGCCGGACTCATTCTGAACATGAAGCGGTGCCAGAATTTCTTGGCTTCTTCCTGAAGAGGAGACTTCTTTATCTGCATCCGGTCCTTGGGCTGAGGAAGGGCCTGGGTCCCAGGTGGACTATGCTCACTGACGGGGTCCTGCGTTGGGTGGAGTTCTCTCTCAGGCTTCTTCCAGAACCTGCCAAACCTGGATAGCATCTTCTCTCTCTGCCACTGACCTCCCCCCAAAATGCTGGTACCTACCAGGTGTGGCAGGGCTACGAACAGATCTGGCTTCTCCTCGGCCTCCCTGTGGTTGCCCAGGGGAAGCTCTCTGGGATTTCTCTCTGGCAGGAGCACAGGGGGAACAGAACCCTGACTCTGGCCGCCATCCTGGGGCCACGCAGCCTTCCCCAGTGGCAGGAGCACCAGCAGCTGAAGAAAGAGGAGATGCATAGCGTCGGGGCCCAGCTTCTTTCAGATTCACAGATGGCGAGGCCCAAAGGAAAGGCTCCCTCCCCTGGGACTGTGAACTAGGAGATGAGATCCCATATATAGATACCTGCCTCATGGGATGGGAAGGCAGGTGGTCAGTAGCCAGGCAGTGTAAACACATTTGTTTGCTTGAATTATGTAGTGCTAATGGTGTCCTGCCTTCACTTGGGTTTTGTGTATTTAAGAAGGCCCCAGGGAAAGGCCGGGACCCAGGGGGTCATTAGCTGACACTTTAACGTCTGAGATTGGAAGAGCAAGTATTAGTGAAAACAACATTCTCTGCCTGGACTTCCCACCACGGTTATAAGAAGCACCAGACTCAGCTAACATTTGCAGTGCATCTGCTTTGTGCTGGGATAAAATAGACCAGGTGTGTGTTTGTGGGAAGGGAAAGGAAGAAATAGGAAGATGTTAACTTTATTGAGCAGAGGACTCTCCCTCATACTCAGACTTGGTTGCAATTGTTGATTTTGTGTGGTGGCAGAGCAAAGGGAAACTCACAATCTCCAAGGTATTCCCCTCACTTGAAGAATCAAACCCTGGGTGCTAAATTCACAGCTGGTCAGATAAACTCATTCAATTGTTTGACAAATTTCTCAACAAGATCCTAAGTAATAGACTGATGCCCATCAGTCTTCACTGGGGATGGGGAAGTGTCTCCCATTTATTTATTTTTTTTTCTTTTTCTAAACAAAGAGCCAGACTTGTAAACGTGGATTCTAAGAACCAGGTTTGATAGCTTTGGGCATGAAGCTGGCTGGTCAGTTCTTTACATTATAGAATCCACATCGTCTTCCTTATTCTATGACTAGGGTAAATAAATAAAGATTTGCCAGGTGACTATCATTCAAAAACACTGTAAATCAGGCCAGGATATGAGAAACCTATCCACAAAACTGAAACCCCAGAATTGAGTCTAATCAACCTTCCACACCATTTGAACAGTATTTCCATGGGGAATTGATACAATACTTGCTTATATTTCTGCCCTTTTAGTTTAATCACCATATTCCTTATTTTCAGTAACACATGCTGGATCATGCTCCTACCACATTTTTTACTACTGATTTTCTTTTTAAGAAGACTTAACCAGCCCAGCCAGTGTTGCTCAGTGGTAGAGCATTAATCCATGAACCAAGAGGTCACCAGTTCAATTCCCGGTCAGGGCACATGCGGGGTTGCAGGCTTGATCCCCAGTGGAGGGCATATTGGAGGCAGCTGAGTGATGTTTCTATCTCTCTATTCCTCTTCCTTCTCTCTCTCTAAATCCATAAAAACATATTTAAAATAAAACAATAAAAAAACTTAATCCCATTGGACTCTTTTTCAGACACATGTTCTTTTTAATAGTCGTGCCCGATTCTGTGAGATAAAGCCTGCAATGATAAGCTATTTTTAAATGGAGCATCACTTTCCCAGAATTCTATCAGATGAGATATACAGGATATGCAAAAGTAGGTTTACAGTTGTTCATATAGAAAAAATATAATAACTAATAAATATTAATACAAGAATAAACTCTGTTTTGAGTACTCACAACTGTAAACCTACTTTTGCCCCACCCTGTATTTTACTTGTACCAAATACCACAAGACCTGTGCGAGTGATACAGTTGATCCATACTAAATGAGCATTAGCATTTGCAAATCCTTTTCAAGTATTTTTCTCATTTGATTCTCAATTCCCCTCAGTAGCCAATGCAATAGACTTCCCAGAGCTGGCCATTCTTCCCTGATTATAAATAAGCATGGAAGCCAACTACGATAGGTTTCTTGATTCTTTCTAAACTTTACACTGGTGCCTGCAGTTTCATTGCCATCAGTCACAGCATCTAATATTTCTCCAAAATGAAGACTGTCCCAGAGATCCCACTTGGGGCCTCAGGTGACTTGGCTCTGAACATAGGATACAATGAAGGTAATTCTGTTGAATTAAAATTTGTAGGAGACTCAGTTTGTTAGATACTAGAAGATGACAGCAAATGATCAACACTTGGTTCTTGCCCTCAAGCAAGTTGTAGAGGCTTGCCATACATTCTGTAACTTTATTAGCTGTAAGAACATCAGTTATTCACTTTTAATTTTCTTTTGTCCTAACCTCTCTTCTTCTGATATTAATTTTGGTTGTTTACAAATGCCATTTTAAAAGGACTCATGGAGAATTCCTTTTTGCTGACCTGTCATTCCTGTTGGGAAAATGTGCAAATATCCCAGCAGGCTAATCTAGCCAAAGAAGGCCGCTGTGATGAGAACTATGGTCTGTAAGTCTGTCCTCATCCCCTGTCTTTCACAGGTAAAGGCACATAGCATTCACCTTTCCCCATCTTTCATTAATTCGAACGCTAAGCATGCAATCCATTGCAGCTTACTCTTAAGAGCAGAAACATGCTGCAGCTTTCCGCAAAAACAGCTGCTTCTGTGGGTCCTCAGAGGCGTGGGTTATCTGATCGCCTCCCGATTTGGATGAAGCCAAATGGAGGTAGGTCTGGAGGGGGCCTCCAGACCCAGCAGGAAGCTGCTATGTGGAAAGAGCACACAAATTGTTGGTGTGCTTAGTACCAAATGCCACAAAAAGGCAGGCCTGAACTCCCACGTGCCCATGCCTGCTCTGTCCACTTCTTGGGAAAACTGGCTGCTGTGTGAGAGTCATTGGGGCCAGTCTCATAATCCATTCATTCATTCATTCCAATTAACAGCTCATGCTCAGCATGATCTGAACTCTCTGATTCCAACTTGACCTGGTTTTCCCAAGCACTGAAATGTCTTCAGGACCTAGTTGAGGGGACAGTAACAAGCCACCTTTTCTGTCCCTCTTACAGACTCTCAGAAGGGAGCGAAAATGTGGTCTAGCGCTTTCTGAGGAAAATCAGAGAGGCCACGTTCTTTCTTAAAAACCGCAGACCTAAGTCAACAAAAGGTGAGAGGCAGTGTTAGGGAAGAAGGTGGGCATGGGAGTTAAACTGTGAGACAGAAAAGGGAAGTTGGGTTGATGGGTTTGTGAAAGAAGTTGGCTTCGGGTGCATGCCATTGCCTCATAACTACCTCTCTTTTCAAAATATAGGACAGCAATAGTGTTGACAGACTTTAGATTATTTAAAAAGAGCCCCAAAGAAGGCAGACTCTTTTCCTTTACAAATGACAAAAGAGGGCAGGTTAGAATAAGTGGTTTCTTCATCATGATTTAGTTTACTAAATTATTAAAATCATAGACCACTCCCCCATGCACTGCCCTCCCTGCCACTTGCTATGGAAAGAACACAGCAGAAAGAGCTCATTCCCAAAGCTGCTCCTCTCATTCATTCACACAGCATACATCTATCTGAGTGCCAACTCTGTGCCCGGTCCCGGGATAAAATGGTGAAGCAATCCTTGTCCAGGCCTGGTGGATTTGCAATGAATTGGGGAGAGACATGTGTGTGTGTGTGTGTGTGTGTGTGTTTTCAAAATAAGTTCCACAAGGAACAGCGAGGCAGACACCATTCCTGTACTAAGTAGGAATGCTCAGATCCATGTCCCAAAGGCACAGTGAATTGTTCCACTGTTTCTGCTCATTTTATTCACAAGATATTTGTTAAGTTTAAGGATGGGCAATAGATATGCAATCATTGCCTTTCATGTTTGATTAAGTGTTAAATATATGTAGTAACAAAATTCAAATGATATAAAGTATACAATGAAAGGGAACTCTTCCTCTGACCTCCCGGGCTTCCCATCCTGCCATGGAGCCAATCATTGTTATCAACTTCTTTATATGAAATATTTTGAAGTTTTCAGCTGTCCTAGGCTGAATTATGTCTCCCTGAACTTCATATGTTGAAATCTTAACCCCTAGTGCCTCAGAATATGACCGTCCTTGAAGACAGGGCTTTTAAAGAGGTAATTAGGTTAAAATGAGGTCAGTAGGGTGGACACTGTTCCAATAATAATGGTGTCCTCATAAGACATAAATGGTGTCTTAAAGGGAGATTAAGACAAAGACAGAGGGAAGACCATGTGAAGATATAAAGAGAAAGTTGCTGTCTCCAGACTCGGCTTCATAGGGGTGCACGTGTGTCCTCCTAACCAGGAAAGCAGGCTCCTGAGAGGCAAGGTCTCTGTTGGACAGGCACTGTCAGCCACTTTGAGGATAGGAGTTGCGCAGAATACATCTGCCTGTTTCTTTCCCATCCCTGGCCCCTCACTCTACACTTAGGAGGTGAGTGAACATTTGCTTTAACGTACCTGATCCAATAGAAATGTGGAAACTTCTGACCCAGGTCTTCAGTGTGCTATACTTTTGAAAAGGGATCTCTTTGTCCTGGAGAACATATCCTTCATTCTCTGGGTCTAGGCCCTATTTTTAAATCATATTTCCATAGAATCTAGAAACTCAGAATATGCCTTTAGTTCCCCACCTGGCCACAGAGTCAGAGTAGGTCTTTGAACTTTGTCTTGCCAGATACTGTTCCCAGGCAAGTCTCTGCAGAAGGAGAATTACACTCCTAGCCAAGGTCACTCAGACCTGAAGGCTCACAGTCTGTGTCAGCTAACTTTACGCAGGTTGTAAATTGTCTTCCTCCAGTGGGAAGATGGGGTGCTGTATCACCAACAGGAAGGAGCATAGGGGCACCTGCCTGGACACCATTCCCCCACTGGCCACCTTGCCAGTTTCTGCTTATACGATGCAGGCAGCTTGGGGGAACCATGTTGTCCCTATAAGTTCATAACACATGAACAAATGATTAAACACACATGGAAAACAGTTCCACCGCTAAGCTAAAATTCAGATGGGAATGGAAAATCAACTTGCAAAGCTTTCAGCTGACTCAGGGCCAAATGTAGGCCAGAATGAGAGGAAAAGTTGCCAAAGAGAGAAAGAAGTTGGGGAGGAAAGTGAGCCTGGATCGAAAACCTAAAACAATGACACCTTGTATGGACAACCCTTCTGAGGCTCTCTCCAAGCAAAGGCACCAAAATCAACCC